GACTCTTAATCTCAGGAAACAAACTGAGGGTTGCTGGAGGTGGGAGGGGGTGGAAGGGATGGTGTGGCTGGGTGATGGACATTGGGGAGAGTATGTGCTATGGTGAGTGCTATAAATTGTATAAGACTGATGAATCACAGACCTGTATCCGTGAGAGACATAATACATTATATGTTAATTAAAAATGAGTATTTCAAAAATTAAAAAAAATACCCGGTAGGTCTATCCATGTCGTCTCAAATGGCATGATCTCATCCTTTTTATGGTTACATAATATTCCAGGTTGTGTGTGTGTGTGCGCACGCAAATCACACCTTCCTTATCCATTTGTCTATCGATGGATACTGAGGTTGCTTCCACATCTTGGCCATTGTAAATAATGCTGCAATAAACATAGGGGTACATAGATCTTTTTGAGTTATTGTATCTATTTTTCTTTGGTAAATATCTCCCAATAGTGGAATTATTGGATCATGTGGTATTTCTCTTTTTAAGAGAAAAAAGATTTTATTTACTTGAGAGAGAGAGAGCATGAGCAGGGGGAGGGAGGGAGGGAGGGAGGGGGAGAAGCAGACAGTGGTCCCGAGTGGGGAGTCCAGTGTGGGGCTCAATCTCAGGATTGAGATCTCAGGTTTGAGATCATGATGCAGGTGCCCCTATATGGTATTTCTATTTTAGTTTTTTAAGGAGCTTCCATACCGTTCTCCACTGGCTATACCAATTTACATTCTCACCAACAGTACATGAGGGTTCCTTTTTCTCCGCATCCTGCCCAACATTTGTTTCTTATCTTCTTAATTTTAGACAGCCTAACGTGTGAGATAATATCTCATGTTGGTTTTTTCTTTTCCCTGGTAAGGGGTGTTGAGCATCTTCTCATGTGATTGTTGGCCATCTGTATGTCTTCTTTGAAAAAACGTCTATTCGGGTCTCTACCCTTTTTTTAAATTGGTCAGTCCACTAATAGGTAAGGAATTACTAAAGTCATCTTATTGTGTTCTGGCTGTTCTGTAGTTCCTTTGTTAATCTCCTCCACTCTTTTGTGAATTAGTGATTTTTCATAGTAGTATTTTTTTATTTCCTTTATCCTTTGTGTATTTACTTTTGTGTAGGTTTTGCTTTGTGATTACCATGAAGTTTACATATGTCTTAGATACCTAATAGTCTGTTTCAAGCTGATAACAAGTTTTATTGCATATAAAACTTCACCCTTTGCTTGCCCCAAATTTTATGTTTTGTTACAGTTTGCCTCTGTTTTTATTAGGCATACATTACCAAATTATTACAGGTATAATTATTTTCAATATTTTCATCATTTATACTAGATTTAAGTGATTAACATGCCACCATGTTATAGTATTCTTATTAACTATGTACTCATAAATGTGACATATTTTCCTATGTTCTCATGTTACTAATTATCACCCTTTCATTTTGACTTGATGAAGTACTTTGAGCATTTCTTATAAGGCAGATCTTGTGATGATAAACTCCCTTAGCTTTTATTTGCCTGGGGAAGTCTTTATTTCTCCATTTCTGTAGGACAACTTTTCTACATCAAATATACATGGTTGGCAATTTTTTTCCTTTCAGCACTTCATATATATCATTCCATTTTTTTCAGCCTGCAAAATTTCTGATGAGAAATCTGCTGATAGATAATATAAAAAAATTACACCTGTAATAATTTGATGGTATGTGCCCAATATAAACAGAGGTAAACCTCATGGAGATTCCCTTCTACGTGCGAATTTTTTTTTCCGTTACTACTTTTATTTTTATTTTAATTCAGTATAGTTAACATGTAGTGCTGTATTAGGTTCAAGTGTACGATACAGTGATGCAATAGTTCTATACATTTCTCTGTGCTCAACAAGGTAAGTATATGCTTAATCCCCTTGATCTACTTCACCTATCTCCCTTCTAGTGAACATGAATATGTTCTCTATAGTTAAGAGTCTTTTTCTTGGTTTGTCTCTCTCGTTTACCCCTTTGTTCATTTGTTTCTTAGATTCTACCTTTGAGTGAAATCATATGGTATTTTTCTCTGACTTATTTTGCTTAGCATTGTATTCTCTAGTTCTATCCATGTTGTTGCAAATAACAAGATTTTGTTCTTTTTTATGGCTGAGTAACATTCCATTGCATCTATACACATCACCTCCTTATCCGTGCATTTGTCAATGGGCTCTTGGGTTGCTTCTGTAATTTGACTATTGTAAATAATGCCGCTATACAGATGGGGTACATGTATCCCTTTGAATTGTATTTTTGTATTTTTTTGTGTGCAAATACCCAATAATACTATGACTGGATCATTGGGTAGTTCTATTTTTATCTTTGAGGAACCTCCATACTATGGTCCACAGTGGTGACACCAGTTTGCATTCCCACCAGCTGTGCAAGAGGGTTCCTTTTTCTCTACATCCCTTTCTAAGTAGAGGGCACCCTGGTAGGATGGTTGAAACAGAAGTCAGTGAAAGCTGGGGTGTCCTGGGATGCTCCATGCAGGGGGTACTCTGGAGCCAAAGCAGGCATGGACCCAGAGGTTTCAGGGCACTCTGTGCAGGGGAAAGGGGTGGACGGGGATGTCCTGGCAAGTTGTCTGGAGATGAAGTGGTTCAGGCCTGATATGTTCTTGGATGTTTTATGTCTTGATGAGATGGCCGGAGCCATCGTGACTGCTGACCAGGGATGTCCTGGTGTGTGCTGCCCTGGCACCATATTGATGAGATGGCTGGGGCTGGCATGGAGGTGGGTCAGTTATGGCAGCCCAACCCGGCTTCCCTCTGCTCTATCAAGGCAGAGGGTGAACATAAACCAGGCACTCACCAGCCCCTCTGATCCAGAGTGAGTTCCAGCAGTCCCCCACTGTTGGACAGGATCCTAGGGCTAGATCTTTTTAAATTCTAGTTGCTCTTTTAAATCACAGGTTTGGTTTTTTTTTAACGCCCCAGGCCAGACAAATCTGCACCCCACCCCTTAGAACTATCCCGCCCCAGTGCAGTTCACTGTGGAGGGGCATGGGGGCTCCTTCATTACCATGCCCTCCTCTCTCTTGTTCTCCATGCGGTCTCTCTATCTTCTGTTGTGCAGAAGCTGCTTAGTCAACCTTCCATTCTTCAATTGCTCTATAAATGTGTGCGTGTCTGTGAAGGAGGTGAGTTCAAGGTCTTCCTATGTTGTCATTTTAGGAACCCCTAAGGTGTCTCATATTTGTTTTCTATTAACGTATAATGTATTATTGGCTTCAGGGGCACAGGTCTGTGAATCATCAGTCTTACACAATTCACAGCACTCACCATAGCACCTACCCTCCCCAAAGTCCATCACCCAGGCACCCCATCCCTACAAGCCCTAGCAACCCTCAGTTTGTTTCCTGAGAGTAAGAGTCTCTTATGGTTTGTCTCCTTCTCTGGTTTCATCTTGTATCTCATATTTTTTTTTTCATAGGAACTTGGATATTTTGTAGCATTCATTTATTCATTCAATGAACATCTATTGAGAGTCTGCTGTGGGTCAGGCACTTTTCTAAGGGTTAGATATTCTGATGAACAAAACAGAGAAAATGCAGGCTTTGCTGGAGTTTGTCTTCCAGTGTGTTGGGGGGCAAATAATATACAAGAGAAGTAAAACATGCAGTGTATTATATTGTGATAAAGGCTAGGGGAAAAAAAATCAAGCATGGGAAGAGATTTAAAAGTTGGGGCAGAGGTAGTGAAATTTTATGTTGGTTGGCCAGAGAAAAACTTAATGCCCATCTATGAGGGAAAGGATTCAAGTCAACAAGAGCAAAGGTCTTGAGATGGAAACATGCCTGAGGTGTCTGAGGCACCCCAGGGAGATACATAGAGAAGCAGAGTCCAGAAAGAAAAACTTACCTCTTTGCTTCTCCACCATTCCACTCTATGGTACGACTCATTCAAATATTTGTATATAGTAGCATTCACATATCTGCTGAATAATGAATTTTCCCCTCTGAAGGGGAAAAATCAGTAGTGACTGGCAGGATATGTGAGGAGAAGGGGCAAAGCCAGATGATGTCACAGCTAAGCATGTATGTAGGGGCTAAGTGTCTGGTGGGGAAGAAAGAGTGGTTGGGATAGAATAGAGTGGGTTTTGAGATGGAGTTGTTGACCAAGCAGTTGGAAATGCAAACTTGCTGCTTCATGGAGTTCAGGGAAGAGAGAAATTGGGACGGTAATGAAGTTGAAGTCACGGGGACTGATGAGATCCTCCGGGGAGGATGGCCTTGGATAGGGTCATGGTGTGGGGATGCAGAAAGAAGGATGGATTCGTTCTGTATGCAGGACCTTGACCTTGATGATGGGAAGAGAGGTAGATGGTAAGGAAAAGCAGGAGTTGGGCCCAATTCTACAGCTCTATTGACGGTGGTGACATTGATAAGATTGGGAGGGCTCAGAAGGAACAAGGACATGTTTGGGGTAAAAGTGAACATCAGTAGAAAATGTTGAGGAAATGCCAAATCGAAAGAGGATATCTATTTAAATCTGCTAAGCTGAAGGTCTCCAAGTCATGGTAGCTAGTAAGGAGCTAAGGTGACCTCATCCATGAGTCCGCCCTCAGTACAGTGCTAAAGCTCCGGTGTCTCCAGCAGGGGACACACTTTGTAGGGTGATCTGAAGAGTTTCTGAAGGCTCACCTGCTCAGATACCATTCTCCCTTGCCATTTAGCCTGAGCCCTGGCAGTGTTTGTGATGCTACATCCACTCCTGCTTTGTTTGAGTCAGTCCGTACTCTGCTAAGCAGAGTTCCCGAACTCACCAAAGAGATTCCTGTTCCTGTGCGGCCTCTTTCAGGCATCAGGAGACTTAATGCTTGTGCTGTTCTTAGTGTGTCAGCTGATAAGTAATTAGTAACAGGGAATGAGTTTTGCTTGCTGCTCAGCAAAGTTAGGTATTAATTGGTGAAGAGAAGACAAGATAAAATTGGGACAAGGAAAGTGTGCGTGGTTGTTAACATGCTGCACTTGCTTTTAGACCTAGCAGATGGCAGTTTTGCTAAGTCAAAACAGTCAAAATTGGAAGAAGGTGATGCTCCAGAGTCCCTCCCCTCAGTGACGGAAGAGACCGACTTAGCAGGTAACATTATGCGCCCAGCCAGCCGTTCAAGCAAGAGGGTGACAAATCTGTAAGCCCTGAATGTCCCAGCATGCACTACAGGGGGCTACAGTTTGAAGATCAAAGTTGCTGCACAACCCTAACAACTAAGCATTTTATCCTCTAAAAGCCAAGTAAATTGTTGCACACATTATAGATAAAAGCAAGTAAGCACCATGTCCTTTCTATTTTGATTTCTGCCTCTTCACTCTTCATTATGGCAATTTTCAAGGCCTCTGGTTCTTAAATGTCTAGGTCTTGGCTTTAGCTGATAGTTATTAACAAAGTTTTTATTAGAAATATCCACTCTGCACGTGCACCTGAATGTTTATAGCAGCAATGTCCACAATAGCCAAACTATGGGAAGAACCTAAATGTCCATCAGCAGATGAATGGATAAAGAAGATGTGGTATATATGTAATGGAATACTATGCAGCCATCAAAAGAAATGAAATCATTTGTGATCATCACAAATGAAGCCATTTGTGATGACGTGGATGGAACTAGAGGGTATTATGCTTAGCGAAATAAGTCAATCGGAGAAAGACAACTATCATATGATCTCCCTGATATGAGGAAGTTGAGAGGCAACGTGGGGGATTTGGGGAGTAGGAAAGGAATAAATAAAACAAGATGGGATCGAGAGGGAGACAAACTAAGAGATTCTTAATCTCACAAAACAAACTGAGGGTTGCTGGGGGAAGGGGCATAGAGAAAGGGTGGTGGGGTTATGGACATTGGGGAAGGTATGGGCTATGGTGAGTGCTGTGAAGTGTGTAAACCTGGTGATTCACAGACCTGTACCCCTGGGGCTAATAATACATTATATGTTAATAAAAAATTAAAAATTACAAAATCCACTCTATACCAGTGAAGGAGATTGATCCAAGATATCTACATGTGTGGGGTTAGCTGTCTGCATGAGTGATGCCACTCTGTTTCAAAACAAAAGGCTCCAAGAGGGTGAATTTAGAAGCCCAGAGGTGCTAGACATTGGTGATTAAGAACCAGTCGGCCTGAGTTCCAATCCTGACGCTGTTGGGGCGTGAGCTTGCCCAAGTTTTATTTGATCCCTCTGTTCCATATGCACAACAACAGTGCCTACCTGAAGTGGTTTTTGCGAGGCTTACATGAGTCAATACCTGCAAGTATGGATACCTACAAGTCCTCAACCTCAGTGCACCCAGAAGCTGTTACACCAGTGTTGCCCCCGTAGAAATGTCCTACCTGTCATGTCCTACCTGTTGTGTCCTCCTCACAGCCTCTTACAACACCTCCTTTAGTCTGCTTCTTAGACCTAATATCATCTGCCCCAGTTTAAAGTGCTGGGAAAGTTTGGAGGAAATGAGCACCTGGCAGAAACTGAGGTTTGATGGGAAGCAGCTGGAAGTGCCCACCATGGCCCTGGGTTCCAAGCTGGCCTTGTCAGCCATAGTCAGGCCCCACTTATGTCCGGCTTCCGACGGTCTCTCCAACTTCCGCAGCTGATGGGCTAAGCACGTCGATTTTGAACCTTGTCTTAGTTTTACTTAATGTTCTGTTTTTATTGTTCAGAAGGCATTCCTACTCCATCCCTAGTGGTTGTGCCCGAGAATTTGAAGAGTTCTGCTGTTCTCCCAGCCCTCGAAAACTTCACTAGAGAACTGCAAAGGAAATCAGAGGTAATGGTCCACTAAAAATGAAGAACTGGCTTGTTAGGGGCTCAAAGTAACAAGATCATATTATTCATCTGTACTGTTGTTATCCTGCATATGTGGAGGTGCTCCTGAGATTGAGGAAAGGTATACTTGCCTTAGCTATGGGCCCTGACTGTAGTGCCTTTGTGGACTGTGGTTTGTATTATAAGACAGCGGTTCCATGTCCATTTTGCTACAGTGGGACCGGAGGCACTTATATGGAAATCAGACTCATGGTTTGGTTTTATTGAGCGCATTCTCAGACAACAGGAAGTACCAGGAGGCGATGGTTCAGTCACAATGATAGGCAAGGAGGAGAGGGGGCCGTGTGGTTGAGAGAGGTGTTTAGGACAAAGTTGGAGGTGGGTTTAGGTAGATGTTCGGCAGAGCGGTGCATAGGTAGGCTGTCCCAAAGTCTTGTCTGCAAGTTGAACTTTAGAAGCATTTCAGTTCCCTCCTTTTATGTCCTATTGTTTATAAATCCCCAAAGAGTTATTTATTAGCACAGTTGAGAAAAGTATCTTACCCTGACATATATTCATTTAACTAATTTGGAAAATCTCCAAAGTCTTATCATATTTTCTGCAATACCAATGTAAGTTAGTTTATAGTGGAAATTTGTTAATAATATTCAACATGTGCTTTGATAGCATGAATATAAATTTTCCTATTTTAGCCTATTATTCCTTATTGGTACCTTCCTGGGGGGTGATACATAGAAAGTGTATAGCAAGGTGTCTCATCACTGCTGTTTAACAGTTGTTTTTTATGAATATAAGGTGCTGGTACCATCTTTTTTTTTTAAGATTTTATTTATTTGAGAGAGAGAAACAGATTGTGACAGAGATCATGAGAGCACAAGGTGGGAGGAGAGGGAGAAGCCGGCTCCACACTGATCAAGACTGATGCAGGTCTTGATCCCAGGACCCTGGGACATGACCTGAGCGGAAGGCAGATGCTTTACTGGCAGAGCCTCCCAGGTGCCCCTGCTGGTAGCATCTTTTTCACACAAAGCCTGAACTCCATTTATGTAGTTATGGTTAATTCAAATGTGATCATTTTGTTGTTGTTGTTCTGGTTTAGCTTAGGTACGAAGGGAGTCCACTTTATTCAGAAGATGCCAAGCAAGCACCAGACTGCTTAATCCGACTTTTAAACCAGATACGTCAATGCAGGTAAGTGTTGGGTTTCCAAACAAGGTCAAAAAGTGTGATCGCTCATAAGTGTTTGTATCATGCCCATTGTGCGGGGTCATGAGGACCTGAAGCTTGAGCAGCTGCGAGGTTTGATACATCCCCTAACCTGTCTAGTTTCTAGTTTCTAGTTCTTCCTTTATAAGATCATGGGGGAAGGCCTTCCATAAGCCTCTTCTTGGTCTGCCATGGTATGATCGTAAAACACTATCTTTTTAAAAAAATTATAATCCAATTATGAAGACAGAGCAAGGATGGGTAAACATGGGAAAATGCTGGATAAGTGCTAGGTGTCCTCCATGTGCAGTGGAATATTATTCAGCCTTAAAGAATGAAATTCTAACACTTGCCACATCCTGGATGAACCTGAAGGACATTATGCAAAATGAAATAAGCCAGACACAAAAGGACCAGTGTTGAATGATTTCGCTTTTCTTTTTAAAGATTTTTTTATTTATTCATTTGATAGAGATCACAAGCCGGCAGAGAGAGAGAGGAAGGGAAGCAGGCTCTCCGCTGAGCAGAGAGCCCGATGCAGGGCTCGATCCCAGGACTCTGGGATCATGACCTGAGCTGAAGGCAGAGGCTTTAACCCACTGAGCCACCCAGGCGCCCCTGAATGATTTCACTTATATGAGGTACTTAGAAGAGGCAAATTCCTAGAGAAGGGAAGTAGAATAGAGATTACCAGAGCCTGGGAGAGTGGGAAATAAGTTATTGTTTAAGCAGTACGGAGTTTCTGTTTGGACCATGGATAAGTTCTAGAGATGGATGGTGGTGATGGTTGCAGGACATTGTCAATGTACTGAATCCAACTGAATTGTCCACTCAAAGATGGTTAAAAGGGTAAATTTTATGTTATATTGCCACAGTAAAAAGTTCTATGCACTTGCACACACACATGCACCCATACGCAAACACACTCTGATGACTGTGAGATGGGAAGGATAGGAAAGGTGAGGGGAAATGGGGTTCTGTGGTGATTAGAGTTAATCTAGAGCCATTACAATGGAAGTGCTTCTGTAGGGAGGTTTTGCAAATAAAGGTTTGAATGGTATAGGGAAGGTGGTACAGGAAATATAGGAATAAACAATATAGGAAGAAACAATAGATTGTTTCTTGTTGGAGAGAATGGCCTGTAGATGAAGAGGGGAAGAAAACGATGGCAGGTTGGTTAGCTTAAATGAAGGAGGAAGTTTCTTAGGGCAGAAAATATAATGTGAATAGGAATTTATAACTTTTTTCCCAAACTTTTATACATGCAATGTCATTTGATTCTCAAAACAAGCCCATGAAGGACTTTGGACGTGGAGAACTTCCGTTATGTTGTAGGGGTTACGTATTCATCTATTCCCATTCAGCAAATGCACACTGAGCAGCACGAGGTGCCAGGCCCTGGGCTAAGTGCAGGAGAGCAGTGACAATAAGCATTGAGAGCTTCTTGACTTCATAGAACTTTCAGCCTAATGGAGAAGACAGAAAACAAATAAGCAGTTTATGTGGTGGTTAGACCCACAAAAGCAGAGGTTGGAAACTTTAGAACTAACATGTAGAGGACGAGGTTTATTAGCCAATTTCAGCTCTCAGGACCAGCTTAAGGCAAGAGAGGAGGGGGGCAAGTAGAAGTTTGGAAGTGATGGGGAGTTATGATTGGTGGCATAATGGCTTCTGGGCCAGGTCTGGCCTCTGTGTCCTTTTCCCTGGAGTCATCTCTCCTTTGCTCTTAGTATGATATTGAATTACCAGCTTCTTTTGGACTGCTTTTGAAGGGATAAATTCAAGTCTTCATAGTTTCTGGAGAAGAGGATGGTCATCCAGTGAGGGGAAGGAAGAACAGGAGATGTGTGTTCTTAAAAACAAAAGTTAGCAAGGATGTGGAGAAAGGGGAACCCTTTTACACTGCTGGTGGGAATGCAAACTGGTTCCTCAGAAAGTTAAAATTAGAACAACACTATGACCCAGCAATTGCCCTACTGGGTATTTATCCAAAGGATACAAACATAGTGATTTGAAGGGACACATGCTTAGCAATGTTTATAGCAGTGATGTCCACAATAGCCAAACTATAGAAAGAGTCCAGATGTCCATCAACTGAATGGATCAAGAAGATGTAACAGATGCACATGCACACACTGGACTATTACTCAGCCATCAAAAAGATGAAATCTTGCCATTTGCAGTGACATGGATGGAACTAGAGGGTATTATGCTAAGCAAAATAAGTCAGAGAAGACAAATACCATATAATTTTACTCATGTGGAATTCAAGAAAAAAAAACAGATGAACATAGGGAAAAGGAAGGAAAAATAAGATAAAAACAGAGGAGGAGGAAAACCATAAGAGACTCTTAACTATAGGAAACACACTGAGGGTTGCTGGAGGGGAGGTGGGTGGGGGAATGGGTAACTGGGTGATGGGCATTCAGGAGAGCACGTGATATGATGAGCACTGGGTGTTGTATGTGACTGATGAATCACTAAACTCTACCCCTGTATATTACAGTATATGTTAACCAACTTGAATTTAAGTTAAAAAAAGAAAAAGTCTAGAGAAGAATAAGGAGTATCCTTGTAAAAAGAAGATTATCTCTTGTTACGGTCAAGCAGTTCCAATGAAATCTGTTGCTTTTTACATTTATCAGACTGAATAAACTAGAGCAGTTTCACAGTTTTGTTCTTCAAGAGCTAAACAGTCTTGAGAAGGAAATTCAGACTCTGAAACACCTTGAGAAGGATGTTCTGGTAAGTGCCCCCCTTCTTTTGGAATATTCTCTGTGACTTAAGAGGATCCGTTCCAGAGTAGAGTAACTGATAACCACTTAAGACTTTTGTTCAATTTTAGGAATTTTGGGAAAAACAGTCTGATGACTTGAAATCATTCTGCGATCTCCAAGTACTGAGGTAATTGTTCAACGTATTCTTTCTAGAAGTATCTTAGTTGAAGGATAAGGGTAGTGCTTTAACTATAGTACAAATGATTGATGTAAAACGTGATTGATGTAAAACTGCCTGTGAGTAGCTGTGAAGTGGCCTCTTTTCAAACGAATTACTTCCGTGGCACTCCTTGAGCAAAGAATGTGGCTTAGTGTATCAATGTAGAAGTACAAATTTTGAAAAGCATAAATGGAATCATACAAACATCAGTGTTTTTAGTCAAACTCTTATTTTTAAGCCATATTTCAACAAATTAAAGGAGTATATTCTTTTTTTTATTAACATATAATGTATTATTAGCCCCAGGAGTACAGATTTGTGAATCGTCAGGTTTACACACGTCACAGCACTCACCATAGCACATACCCTCCCCAATGTCCATAACCCAACCACGCTCTCCATAATCCCTCCCCACCCCCAACAACCCTCAGTTTGTTTTGTGAGATTAAGAGTCTCTTAAAGTTTGTCTCCCTCCTGATCCCATCTTGTTTCATAAAATGAGTATATTCTGAGAAAAATATTTATGTATATGCTAAATTATGGTCTTATGAGATATATTCTATATTTAAGAATATATGTGTGTGTATATATTAAACAGCCAATGAGTTTATCCTGCTACACCTTCCTTTGGGTGTGATTACTCCGTGTACATTCTGAGGCTGTTGCTTCTATTCATGTAGAATAAAGTCTGATTCTCTGGAGCATAGGTAGCGGGGAAATGGAGAGTAGAGTGCACCCTCCACTCCGCTTCTGCCCTGGGAGAAATTCTAGAGTTTTGTTTTGTTTTGTTTCTGCTTGAGCGATCAAAAAAGAATCCTTATAGAAATATGTAATGGCCTGAAGTTTTATCTACCAGCTCAGAATCCGCTTCTGCCACAGAGATCTAAGTCAGATAGTTTTAGGAAGACTATTATTCTGATGACACTGTACATTTCAAACAGCAGAAAGTTTAAAATATGAGTTCTCCATTCTTTTACTCCAGTTAACACAGTTAATAATGACGAGAGTAGGTCAATAGATTTTCAGAACTCTTTCAGCAGATGATTAAAACAGAGATCCTTTCATAACCTCTTCACCGAATGCCCCTGGTTGGTTGGGAAAGGCTCTCCGACTTCTTGGAATTAGGATCTCTTCAAACTTTGAAAATGTATTAAGTTTCCCAAAAGAGCTTTTGTTTCATGGGTTCTATTCTGTGAATGTTTTCCATATTAAAAGTTGAGATGGAGATTTTAAAATATATATTTATTTAAAAATAACAGAAACATGCCAACAAATTGGACAATCTAGAAGAAATGTATGAATTCCTAGAAAATTAAAATCTTCCAAGAGTGAATCAGAAAGAAATAGAAATACCGAATGGACCATGATATTGAATCCTAGTAACAAACCTGAATCGGTAATTTAAAAACTCATACTACTTTGATTACTACAGCTTTGTAATATAACTTGAATTCTAGAATTGTGATGCCTCCAATTTTTCTTTTTCAAGATTGCTTAAGCTATTTAGGATCCTTTGCAATTCCATACAAATTTTAGGATTGTTTGTTCCAGTTCTGTGAGAAATGCTTTTGGTATTTTGATAGGAATTGCTTTAAATGTGTAGATCGCTTTGGATAGTATAGACATTCTAACAATATTTGTTCTTCCAACCCATGAACACAGAATGTCTATTTCATTGTATCATCAATTTCTTTCATCCGTGTTTTGTAGTTTTCAGAGTACAGCTCTTTCCTCTCTTAGGTTAAATTTATTCATAAGTATTATTTTGGTGTAATTGTGAATGGATTGTTTTCTTTTTCTGCTGCTTCGTTATTAATTCTAAAAACGCAACAGATTTCTGTACATTAATTTTGTATCCTGCAACTTTACTAAATTCATTTTTCAGTTCTGGTAGTTTTTTGGTGGAGTCTTTAGGGTTTTCTATATACAGTATCCTGTCATCTGCAAATAGCAGAAGTTTCCCTTCCTCCTTACCAATTTGGATGCCTTTTATTCCTCTCTCCTGCCTGATTGCTGTGGCGAGGGTTCCAGTACTATGTTAAATAACAGTGGTGAGAGTGGATATCCTCGTCTTACTCCTGACTGTAGGGAGAAACAATTTCAGTTCTTCCCCATTGAGTATGATGTTAGCCGTGGGTTCTTCATATAAGTCCTTTATTATGTTGAAGTATGTTCCCTCTAAATCTACTTTGTTTTTACATGAATGAAGGTTGTGCTTTTTCAGACACCTTTTTTGGATATACTGAAATGATCCTCTGGTTTTTATCCTTTCTCTTATTGATGTGATGTATTACGTTGATTGATTTGCAAATATTGAACCCCCATTGCATCCCAGGAATAAATCTCACTCGATCATGATGAATGCTCTTTTTAAATGTATTCTTAGATTATGTTTGCTAATATTTCGTTGAGGATTTTTGTATCTATGTTCATGAGGGAGGTTTGGTCTGTAGTTCTTTTTTTTTGTTGTGTCTCTGTCTGGTTTTAGAATCAAGGTAATGCACAATTATATGGTCAGTTAATCTTTGATAAAGGAAGCAGGAATATGCAGGAGAAAAAAGTATCTTCAATAAGTGGTGTTGGGAAAATGGGAGAGCTAAATGCAAAGGAATGAAACTGGACCACTTTCTTACACCATACACAAAAATAAACTGAAAACGGATTAAGGACCTAAACATAAGACATGAAACCATAAAAATCCTAGAGAAGAGCCCAGGCAGTAATTTCTCTGACATCAGTCATAACATCTTTCTAGATATGTCTCCTGAAACAAGGGAAACAAAATAAAGCAAAAATAAACTATTGGGACTTCATCCAGATAAAAAGCTTCTGCACAGTGAAGACAACTTACTGAATGGCAGAAGGTTTTTGCAAATGACATTTCTCATAAAGAGTTAGCATCCAAAATATATAAAGAACTTATGTAGCTCAACACCCAAAATAAATAATCCAGTTAAAAAATGGGCAGAAGGCACATGAACAGACACTCTTCTAAAGAAAACATGTAGGGCACCTGGGTGGCTCAGTGGGTTAAAGCCTCTGCCTTCAGCTCGGGTCATGATCTCAGGGTCCTGGGATGGAGCCCCGCATTGGGCTCTCTGCTCAGCGGGGAGCCTGCTTCCTCTTCTCTCTCTGCCTGCTTGTGGTCTCTCTGTCAAATAAAATCTTAAAAAAAAAAAAGACATGTAGATGGCCAAAAGATACAAGAAAAGTTGCTCAACATCACTCAGCGTTAGGGAATTGCAAATCAAAATTACAATGAGATATCACCTCACACCTGTTGGAATGACCAATCAAAACCGCAAGAAACAACAAATACTGGTGAGAATGTGGAGAAATGGGAACCCTTTTGCACTATTGGTGGGAATGCAAACTGGCGTAGCCACCATGGAAGACAATATAGAAGTTCTCAGAAACTTAAAAATAGAGCTACCCTATGATCCGGTAATTGCATTACTGAGCATCTGTTCAAAGAATTAAAAACACTGACTCAAAGATATACATGCATCCCAACGTTTATTGCAATTATTTACAATAGCCCCTTTATGGAAGCAAACTAAGTATTCATCAATAGATGAATAAAGAAGATGTTACTGGGGGCACCTGGGTTGCTCAGTGGGTTAAGCCTCTGCCTTTGGCTCAGGTCATGATCTCGGTCTAGGGATTGAATCCCCCATCGGTCTCTCTGCTCAGCGGGGAGCCTGCTTCCTCCTCTCTCTCTGCCTGCCTCTCTGCCTACTTGTGATCTCTCTCTCTCTGTCAAATAAACAATCTTTAAGAAAAAAGATGTTACCACATTAATGGATTATTATTGAACCATAAAAAAAAATCTTGCCATTTGCAACAACATGGATAGATCTAGAGCATATAGTGCTAAGCAAAATAAGGTAGTCGGAGAAAGACAAATACCATATGATTTTCCTCATATGTGGAATTTAAGAAAACAAATGAACAAAGAGAAAAAAGACAAAAAATAAACTCTTGACCATAAACTAAAAACTGATGGTTACCAGAGGGATTAGGCATCCAACTCTTGATTTCAGCTCAGGTCATGATCAGGGTCATGAGATCGAGCCCCCACGTTGGGCTCCTTGCTCAGCATGGAGTCTGCTTAAGATTCTCTTCCTCTTTCTCCCTCTGCCCCTAACCTCTGCTTGCACTCCCTTTCTCTCTCTCTCAAAAAAAAAAAAAAAAAAAAAGCATCTATCTTGATGAGCACTGAGTAATATAGGTTGAATTGTTGAATCACTATGTTGTACGCCCGAAATGAAAATAACAGAGTGTTAAAACAACAAGCAAAAGTCCAGGACCAGATGGATTTACAGGTGACTTCTAACAATGTTTTTTAAAAGATTTAATATCTATCATTCTCAAAATATTCTAAAAAACAGAAGAGAAAGGAAAGCTTCCAAATACTGATATTCCAAATGCTTACGGCATTACTGTGTTACCAAAACCAGACAAGGACATTACCAAAAAAAGAACTGTAGGTTGATATTCCTGATAAACACCGATGCAAAAATTCTCAATAACAGGGCACCTGGCTGGCTCAGTGGGTTAAAGCCTCTGCCTTCGGTTCAGGTCATGATCCCAGGGTTCTGGGATGGAGCCCTGCATCAGGCTCTCTGCTCAGCGGGGAGCCTGCTTCCTCCTCTCTCTCTGCCTGCCTCTCTGCCTACTTGTGATCTGTCAAATAAAATCTTTAAAAAAATTCTCAATAAAAATATTAGTAAACAGCATTCAACAGAATATTAAAAGGATCGTTCATCAAGATCAAGTGGAATTTATTCTAGGGATTCGATGATGGTTCCATTTTCACAAATTAATCAACAATATGCTACATTTATAAAATGAAGGTTAAAAAAATCATAGGATCATCTCAGTAGATGCAGAAAAAACATTTGACAAATTTCAATTTCATTACTGGTTAAAAACTCAATGAAGTGCATTTAGAGGGAACATACTTGACAT